CCCCCCCTGCCCCCCCCTTGCCTCTACTGCCTGCCTCTGCCCTCACCACCCTGCTCCCACCCTTGTTCTGACACCTCCCTCCTGCCCTTCCTCCTGACCCTGGCACCACTGCCTGCCCTGCCGGACCCCGCCTTCCTCACCCTCCCCCATCCCCTCCCAATCCCAGCCCCCCACTCCCAACAAAACCGCCCTTATGGGTAATTTCCCATTGCTTTGGGTGCACTGTGCTGCCCACTCACTGCACAGCTGCTCCTCCATCCCCTCTCCCCAACACCTCCCTCCTGCCCTTCCTCCTGACCCTGGCACCACTGCCTGCCCTGCCGGACCCCGCCTTCCTCACCCTCCCCCATCCCCTCCCAATCCCAGCCCCCCACTCCCAACAAAACCGCCCTTATGGGTAATTTCCCATTGCTTTGGGTGCACTGTGCTGCCCACTCACTGCACAGCTGCTCCTCCATCCCCTCTCCCCATTCCCACCTCCCACCCCGCAACCTCCCTCTTCCTCCCCCGCCACGGCCCCCCCTTGCCAGCCGACCCTTGCCCATGCCCAGAGCAGGCTGTCTGGGCCTCCCAGCAGGGCCCGTCACTCACCGGGGCTGGGGGGCGCCAGTGTGACCCTGGACACTGGCTGACCAGTGCAATGCTGTCTAGCTCCAGAGACGCGCCATCCGGCGTGGCGTCCCGTCACAGCACTGAGGCGCGACGGCCCACGCAGGCATCTGTCGTCAGCCGGGAGGGAGGAAGCTGATCTGTTTTGAAGAGGAAACTTAAAAAAATCAACAACGAAACCTCAAACGTTGACCCACATCCGCTGCCTAGACGGGAAAACTTGATGATCCGCCAACGCAGGAGGGGGCGGCTAATAATAGCACACAGCCCAGATATAGCCCTTTGTCTTCGCTCCACCCAGAGGGGAAATTGAGGCACAGGGCGGGGAAAGGAAGTGCCACAGCGGGCGCTAGAACCCAATGTCTTGCTTGGGGGCTATAATATCCATCGCTCCACAAGATTCAACCAACATTGTTCCTTTGCCTACTCGCATGCGGCGCGGCGCTGACCGCTGAGGGACTCTCGGCACACTGGCCAAAGACTCCTTTATCCCTGACTCCAGCCAGGTAGAAGGCAGGAGGAGCAGCTGGTGGCAGGGCTGACAGTCAAACCCAGCTCTCCAAACTCTTAGTTCCATGTTCTCATGGTGATCTGGCCAGGCGGGGGATAAGAGAGAGCAGTGAGTTTGTCCCGATGTTCTGCACCTGTGATGGAGATGGGACATGGCAGCTGAAACACTTTCCCCAGTTCAAAGCCCCTGTAAATTGGGCTGGATCTTCTATAAAGCATCAGGCCAAGCCCTGATCCTTCTTCCAGCCTGGCACCTCTCCTGGAGAGACCCTGATGTGAGCAGCACCCAGGTGCCAGAGAGACCCTGCCACAGAAATTGGGGAGCTCCAGTGTCAGGGTGTTTGCCAGCAGTGTCAGCCTCTTGCCTCTCACACTAACTCCTGCCATGGGATGGGAGTGCTCGGGGGACACCCTGGACCTGGGCTCAGGCTGCAGGATTGGGACAGAACCATGACCTTCCCCATTGACGAGCCAGGGACTCCCACTGAGGAAAGACCCGGCCTGCATGACAGGGGACGTGGCAGCATCGTCCACACGTTAGGCCTTGTCTACAAAGGAAGTTTGCACCAATGGGTTTAACTTAAACTGGTTTCGCTAACCTGGTGCAGACCCCATGTGGACGCTCTGATTTGTGTTTAATTGCAATTTAGTTTAAACTGGTTCCAATCTGGCTTTGTGTGGAAAGTGACTGAGCTGGCTAGGCCGACCGGAGCCAGGCTCACGCGGGTACGTCAATCCATGCACTCGTGGGTGTCAATGAGTGTGTACACGTTCCTGAGAGCGCCGTCCCCTGGAAGAGCCACCCGGGCACTGGGAGAGCACAAGGGCCTGGCACCGAGCCTGTGCACACAGGGGACCAGGGCACCCATGCTTATTCTCACACCATTCCACACCCCAGAGTTTCACACTTCACAGGGGGTTTGGCAGGAGGGCCCCAAACAGTCGGACCTGGGCAGTGACTCTGGGCGCCCAGCTCGTCTCTGACACTGTTGTGTGTCACTCAGGGGAGGTGGCTAGGCCGAACGGAGCGACGTGGCTGGCACAGCAGAGTGAGCTGGGGCCAACTGGATCTACTTCCCTCCCCCGCCCACCGCTGGTGCTGCCTGCCAGCAGGCTGTGTCGTCTAGGGCAGGGGCATTGTGGGGAGAATGGGGCAGAGCAGGGTGGGGAGGAGGCAGAGGGGGATTGCCCTGCCCTTTCCCAGGCTAGAGGTGGAAGGGGGAGGAGTCATGTGGGTCCTGCCATGAGAGCAGGGGTCTGGACTCAGCCTCTCGAGGCCCCTTCCAGTTCTGCACCATGTGAGAGAGGACAGGAAGCTGAAGCATTAGGACAAAGTGCGTTGTCTGTGAGCCTATGTGAGGCCTCCCGGTTTGCTGAATACTGTGTGTGCCTCAGTTTCCCTGTGCATTGCACCAATGTCTACAGGGTAGGAATAAGTGTTTGTGATTTTTGCTGAGGGGGGTGAGGTGGCTCCAGCTGCCTGCACTGAAGCGATGGCCAGTGCCCTTTGTAACCTGAGAGCCAGGAAGGGGATGCGACGGGGTGTCCGGCCCAGGTTCCCCATGATGGACTTTGCTCATCCTGCACTAACAAGCTCTGTTCTGTGATGTGTTCCTGTCGCGCAATAACCCCTCCATGCTATGCACCGGCTGAGGGTCACGGCTCCCTGCAGAGCTGGGGTGCAGGCCCTCTGGCTCCCCGGGGATCCGCCAAGGAGAAGTGCACCATGAATGGGGGCTGAATGCTCTGAGGTCACACCCAGGAGGGCCCCTTGCCGTGGACACAGCTGCCCGGAGCCCTGCCTGGCTTCATACAGAGCAGTCCCAGACACGGGGGGCCATTTCCCAGCACCAAGCATGGCAGCTTGGACACGAATCCTTCCTCGTCAATAATTGATGCTCTCTGATGGGATCAGCACAGGACGCGGCTGCCAGACACAGAGAGGGGAGTGGGTTTGGCGCAAGGTTTCTCAGTCCAGGGTCTCGGCTCAGAATTGGGTCACCAGCATGTGACACGTGGCACGTGAGGCTGCGGCACAGACCTCGCCCTGCGCTCACCCTGCAGAGGCTGCTTCTGTGGCTCTGGCCCTGCGGGGACAGCTGGGCTGGGCTCCCCGCCCTGCAAGCCATTCTGCGGGTTACAGCGCGGCTCCAGCCACGCGCCCTCTGTCGGCAACAGGGGCCTGCTGGGCAGGGACCCCAGACACCAGGCTGAAATGCCACTCCCACAGCAGGGGAACTGGACCAAACCGGAGTGGTTCTGAGACCCTGGAGATCACAAGGTCCAGAGCAGGGAGCCGAGCCCAGCCCGCCCCACAGAGTGGGACCCACAGGAGCTGCTGCTCCGGTGAGCACAGGGCACTTACTGCGGCAGGTGCATGTGAGGGTGGGGCCGGTGCCCGTATCGCCCTGGCACAAGGAAGCTGGGCCCAAGGAGCAGCACTCCAGGCTTCAAAATCTCCTGCCAGACACAGGCAGCTCCTGTGCCCCCACCATGTGCCCAGCCTGCTCCTGGATCTCAGTGTGCCCCAAAAGCCGACACCACTGCAGGGACCCCAGCAGAAAGGTGGCTCAGCCAGGTCTCTGGTGCACTGGGCAAGTGGGGGGAAGGAGAGAGGGAGGGAAAATCCCCTGGGATGTCCAGAGAGCAGGCACAGCATCCTGGCCATCCCCTCCTCCCGGGCTGATGGAGGAGCCAGCAAGTCAGATCAGACTCCACCCCCCCATCACTGACCTAGTTAGTTAATTCTGCCTGCTTGAGACTTGCAGAAACCAAAAGAGCCTCCCTGTTGCATGAATAAGTGATGGGACTTTCATTTACTTGCCGCGGCTGCTGCAGCTGTTTGACTCAGGTGGCTGCGGGCCCCCGCCCACCCCACGCCTGTGAGTCTGGGCCAGCCCCAGCAGTCCGCTCTTTTGCAGGCTGTGCAGATGCTGTGGTCTGGGGCTGCTGCAGATGGTCTGGGTGGAGGCAAGACAACAAGGAGAGCAAAGGGACAAAGGCTGCCATGAGCTCCATGTCCTTAGTTAGGGTTTGCACCCGGGTATCCAGGTTCTGGCATTGCTCCCAGAGTTCATATCTCTCTCTCTGCACCCTTATCAGCTCTAAGTTCCAGTAGCTAGTGCAGGCTGCTTGCCACACACCCTTTAACAGCCAGATGCAAGCGCCTTTCCCTAACATCTCTTTATCCCATTTAGGGTTGCCCCATCCCTCTTGGGCAAACTCTTTCTCTATACAGCTAAAATCCATGTCCAGCATGACAGGCTTCACGTTGCTGTATGTGAACCAATAACACAATCCTGCCGACTACGCCAATTCTGTCAGCCGACCGT